AGTGATCCTTCAGTAAATCAGTGAATTGGCTAATCTTGGTGAATTAGCCATTCAGTAACTACTCCTTTGGCAGACCGGTCCCCAGCATGTTGACTGGCTTCCCTCTTGTACTCCTCTCTAATCAGTCTCATTGCTACGCTCTCCCAGGACAACACTTCTTATTCACTTTGTATCCCCAGAACTTATCAGTGTGTTTCATCTTACGAAGACTTAAAAACATTGATAAATGAATAAACAAGTGAATTAATAAATGACCTTTACCCTGCCTTAACCTGACTACTTTTCTCCCTGCAGGCTAAATACCAAGGGAATCTGAATTTAAATGAGTGAAGGCCAAGGAGAAAAATCTTTCTTGCACATTTTACTCTTTATATCTATGTTTGTGTATACATAGTCTCATAAGTAATTTTCTTATGAACTATAGGCTGAGCCCTAACATCTAACTTTAAAAAATATCCAAATATGGGCTTGAAATAAAATTGTATTGTGTTGACTATTTCTGGGGGAAAACAGGCAGTTTTATTGGACAATTGAAAATCTTTTCTATGCAAGATTTGCCTAATGGATTTATTAATAACTCCCATTCTCCAAAAGGATTTGGGCAGAATGTTCTCAGTATATGTAGTAAAGACTGCATATATCTCCTATTGGTTGTTGTCAATGTGTACAAATGTTGACTTGTATCCACTATATTGATTCACAGTTCACCAGGAAGCCAAGACTGCCTCAACAGAGCTTAAACATACTGCCTTGCCAGGACACACCAAGGCTAGATCTGCTTCAAACTTATAAATCCAATTTCATGCTCTATACCTACTGTTGGACACTCCACATATTCAAAACTGAATATGTAGTCACGCCCCAGACTCATTCTTCCTCCTGAGATCTCGACTTCAGTGAACTGTACTGGTCTTTGTTCTCTTATTTCTCTCACTGCCCCCTTTTAAGTAGATTCATAGAGAACAGACACAAAGAGCCAAAGGGAGACGAAACATCAGCTCTATTAGTAGTGGCAGAGTAACCAGCAAAGTACAAGGCTTCCTAGTATGAAGGATGATGTTTAGGCCTGAGGCCCAAAATATAGCATCGTGCTCTTTCCCCTAGCATTGAAGACAACTTGGCATGGGAGGGCCTACCTAACTAATCACTTAGTCTCAGGCTGTGGACACTCCCTTCCCCAACTGGGGCTTTCTACCTGGAGATAGGAAGGCCAAGGCACCCGAGGCCTGAACAAAGGCAAATCCAAAAGAATGAAAACAAATTGTGCCACACGTGAGCAGTGACCTTCAAACTCACCCAAGAGATAGACCTGACTGTCAGGCTCTGGCCCCTCCCACCCATCAGATTAGTTGCTCCTCCCCCCTAGCTCAGGACACTCTGTGGAGGAGAGAATCTATAAATGCACAATCAGCCTTTCTCTTCTTAGCCAGGGCAGCAAAAGTCCCCTCTTTAGAACCCAGAATAGCAGGGAAATAAGGATCCCTGCTTTAACACTCTCCACCATTTCTCCAATCACCCAAGCCAAGGACTTGGGCATAAATCTAAACCACATCCTTTTTCTCACTTCCTCATCATCCCTTATCTTCTGTCAATCACCAAATCCTGAAGTTTCATCTCCTACATATTTCTTCATACATCTTTTTCTCTCCATCTATCCTGCCTGGATACTAGATCCAGCCCTCATCATCCTTTGCCAACACTACAGTAACAATCTCCTAATCCTGCTTTCTGATTTTAGTCTTATTCCGTTTCTAATCTAATCTCCACACTGCAGCCAGAGTGATCATTCTGAAACTCAGTTCTGATCATGTTACCTTCTGACAGCTTCCCATTAACTACAGGATGAAGGCTAAGCTCTTTAATGACTTACAAAACCCTTCATGACCTCCTACCTTTCCAAACTCATCTGCCCTGTCTCTCCTTTCCCATACCTGTCCCAGGAATATTAAAATGCTTGTAGTTTCTGCCAGTGACCATGCAGTTGCAAATCTCCGTCCCTTTGTTCATGTGATTCCTTCTGACTGAAATACTCTTGATTCCCTGTCCCATTTTGTTAACTCTGATTCAACCTTGAAGATTCTGTTTAAGACATTACTCCTCCAGGAAGCCTTCCCTAATCTCAATCCTCTCCCTGTCCTGCTCTTTCCAGCTGAGAAATTACTCCTCTTCTGTACTTACTCTGCGAATAGCTCCCTCATTGAATTTACTACCCTATGTTGATATTTTTCTTCATGTCTATCTTCCTATTGGTTAGAGACCATGTCCTCAGTAACTAGAGGTTAACAGCACTCAAGATAATTTGTGGACTTAAACTGAACTCTTTGTTCTTCCAAATTATTCACTCATTCTTAATTTATTCATTAATTCAATAATAATTTATTGATTCAGTTCATGAATTTCACCCCACTCATCCACTTCCATTTTGCTGAGTAATATTCTGAATTCCCAGATGCCTTTAGCCTGTGTGAAAACCAACCATTTTCTCTCTTCTCTATACATTTCAGAGCATATGAAGAACATTTGTTAACCATTTACAAATTGTGATTTGTTTTTAAATTACCCATTTGAATCATTTTTATATGCTTCTTGTCCTGGTGACATAACTGACTGATTACACTGCATCTCTTTTATGGGTGTAGACTGACATAAGTGATACAGTGTGACAGCCTAATACTCTGGAACTGTGGGACTATTACTCCCTCCTTGCTGGCTTCCATCTGCAGAAAATGTAAATCTCAATGGCAGCCATCAGAACTAAACATATTTTGATAAATAATAATAGCAAAGTAACATCAGATTATTATTTTACAGCAGGTCATTGAAGCCACTCAAACTCAGCCTGTCTCTTCCTGTTTCAGATGTCTTCCTGCCCACTGACTTCAGCTGCTAATGGGCACTGATTTTTTTTTTTTTTCATTCAAGTTTAAAGAGCTTTGATACAGTTTCACATTTTCCAAAGAAAATCTCAGAAAAGAATAGGGAAATTTAGAGGGTTGGGCGGTGGCCAGCCTGTGGAAGTCAAAAGCTGGGCGGGCCAGCTAGTCCAGGGGCATTGGGTTTGGGAGCTGGAGAATAATGAAAGATATGGGCTCTCAGGGCTTCTGGCAACACGGATAATGAGCGTCCAAGAGTGAGTGAGGCTGGGAGGGAGCCAGGAAGGACACACCGTGATGTGGAACAAAGGCCTCTATTTAGCTATGATTCTCCTACCACAATGGGTCCACTCCTCAAGGAAAGAGTAAGATTTGTATAAACTGCCTCATGAAGAGAACTTTAAAATAATAATAATAATAGTAAGCTTATTGGTTAATTTTACACTCTAATACCTAGATTAATAAATACTCTAACCTAAAACCTTTTGGAAATACATTAAGTACATACATGCTCTCACATCTCTATAGGGAATCAAAATATTTAACAACCAGCCCAGAATGAACCAGCCAACCAGAATGGATGCCAGCCATAAACACCAGTAGGGCCATCCTGGAGCACCAAGCTAAATAGAAGTCCTGAATATACACACAGCTGCACAAATAACAGGCATCTCTTCCCTCCCCAACAAAGTTCCATACTGGAGTCTACTCTGGTTTCTTTTCCAAGCAACAAGAATGACTAGTGATAAGAATTTAAAAGGAAAATCTGAAGTTATTCTTGCGTATATTGGCTTTTTGCCTGAAGCTAAAAAAAGAGGCATAAGAGTTTCTTTCTCCATTTTCAGCCTTCTATTTTTCCTCCTCTCTGTTCCCAGGCCCTAAAGGCCAGCAACTCCCCACTCCCGCACCCCAGCAATCCAAAGCTGCCTTCTCAAAATAGAAAGGGAACGATCCCGAACTGCTCCTTGGTCGCCTGCCTTGCCAGAATCCTTGAGCTCTGGCCTTTCTTCCCAGATTTCTCATGTCTCTCTCCAAGCCTCCAGCAACTTCTTACTTCGTCTGCCTTCTCCTCAAGATCTTGTTTCAAATCCAGTCCTCCACTCATAAGCTTTCTACGTTATTCATTTCCTTGCCATTCTGTCCCTTACAAGTTCTTTGGAGACTAGTAGCAATTTTAGGATGTTCTGATGCTCACGTCATGGAGCCATAGCTCCCCGCTCCATTTTTCAATAGCAGCATTAATTAAATACCCATGTCAGTCACTCTCCTGAATAATTTACTTATGTCATCTCATTTAACCATTACAATGCAGCTAACCGTTATTTCCACTTTGCAGGATGTCTATTGATTACACAGGTAGTAAGCAGTGAAATCAGGTTTTGAACTCAGGAGACAGTTTGACTCCAATCTCATGTTTTTTCTTACCCTATGTTGCTGCTTTAAAGTAAAAAACAAAAGTACTAATAAAACTATCCAAAGTTATGGAGTCTGGCCTTGATTTGACTGACATTTTTCTAAACTCACTCAAGTGTTCACACACATAAGAAAAGAAGGCTGGGTCACCAGTCTGCACCTTCACATTGCTTATAAATCTCAAGCCAACAGATCCTTAAGCAATCTTAAGCTTGAGAAAAAATGTTAACAGTGTAAGTTCTGTCTATTACTACTGAGGAAAAATAAGGTATTAAGTTGATAGATTCCTGATGTATGTTGCCATTTATTTGAATTAATGCTCCATTAGGTATTCAGAGTGCATAAAAAGATCAATGATGATCAGCTGGGGGTTAAATGGCAGAGGCAGCAAATCCAAAGCATTATTTTAATTAAGGGTTGTGGGGATTGCTTTCTTTCCTTAGATTTAGAGAGAAGGAAAAAGTATTTACAGCTCACTGGGCCCCAAGTAAAGAAGGAGGACTTGTTTCTGCTCAGGGTTGCTGTGTGTGTGTGTGTGTGTGTGTGTTGGGCGGCAATGATCACATGATGGGATCCAACAGCACTCAGGCAGGGTTGGAGGGCTTCTCTGGGCCTCTCTGCCCTAGGAGGGCATGGGCAGAGGCTCACCCACTCTCTAGGGGCATGCTGATTAACTATGAACTTCTTGTAAGACTATACTATTTTCACCCTCAGAAATATTTACCAAAAAATCAGAGACCACGACCTCCTGGACAAAAGAAAAACGGTCACAGCACTGAAAGCAGGAGAGGACCGGGCCATTCTCCTGGGACTAGCCATGATGGTGTGCTCCATCATGATGTACTTTCTGCTGGGAATCACGCTCCTGCGCTCGTACATGCAGAGGTAACGCCATTGGACGGTTGGGATATTGTCATTTGCCTCCTCCTTCTCCCTCCTCCCGTAGCGTATCAACCCCGAGGTCCTCTTCCTCACCTTTCTTCCCAACAAGAAATTTGAGCAGTGCCTGCCCTACACTGTTTTTAAATAACGCTCTCTAATTATAATGATAAAAATGGCTCTATGTATAAACTGCCTACCATGTGTCAGGGACTTTCCATACATTACTTGTTTAATTCTCACAAATACTCTATAAGGTAAATATGAATATACTCATTATAAAAATGGCAAAACTGAGGCCAGCCCAGTGGCGTAGTGGTTAAATTCGGCGCATTCTGCTTTGGTGGCCCAGGTGTGGTTCCCCGGGCATGGACCTACACTACTCATTAGCCATGCTGTGGCAGAAACCCACATACAAAATAGAGGAAGATTGGCCACAGAAGTTAGCTCAGAGCAAATCTTGCTCAGCAAAAAAACAAAAAAAGGCAAAATTGAGGCTCGAGATAGATATAATTTGCCCAATGTCACACAGCTCTAGCATGTGGCAGAGATAAGATTCAAACTCACATCCTGCTAATTCCAGAGTCCCATTCTTGCCTCTTCACACCTCTGCCTGTTCTCCACCATCATTCCTTTTCCACCCCCCTGCCTTCTCTTCCATCACCCTACACATCAGTAGTTCTCAGCTGCCCATTTAAACTTCCTGAGAAACTATTAAAATTACCAATGCGCAGGTCCCACCACCATTCTCCCAGAAGGTCAGATTTAATCAGTCTGAAGTGGGACCCAGTCATCAGTGTCCTTTAAAGATCACCCAGTGATTCTAGTTTGGTGTCAAGGCTGAGAAACTCTGCTATGTACTAACTTTTAAAAATAACGAATTTTGAACTTTTTTCATTTTAATATTTGCCCTAGGTTGACTGAATAGACAGGGAGACAATTGAACACTGAGATAGCAGGTATATGCCCCCCGAGAAAGCCACATGATAAATCCCTAGCCGACTGTTGTCCATCAATTGGACACTTTGAGCACAGGAGAGCCCAGCGTTGCTGTAACTAATGGGGAAAGTCTCACAGTGGTGCAGCTTAAAGAAAGAGGCCCTTTCAAATGAAAAATTGAGGTTTCAATCCAAAAGAGTATCACACCATTTTGTGGCATTCATTTCTCCACCTAAATTAATACTTTCATTTTAGAAGCATAATCTAGCTGAAATACAGTAATCTGCTCAAATTAAGGCATCGTCTTTCCCGTTTGTGGCTGCTCTGCTCTGTGTCTCCGATGCCTTCAGCTGTGCTCCCCTCAGTGGAAGTGCTGATGCCTCAGGCCCTGGGTCTTCACTGATTCCAAAACCACTTTCAGATCCTCACATCTTCTTAGAGCCATCTAAGATGTTTTCCCTCCTTGCATAAGCAAAATCTAACCATGCATGTCTCAGGAAAACACAATTTACCACACCAGAGGGGGTCAGGGCTAGTATCCTGCCCCTGGCAAAAAACTGAACATGAAAAGGGGGCCCTGTCAACACATGTCCAGCAAGGCGAAGGGAGTATTAATCTGCAAACAAAACATGTTTTCTGATCACTGTGGTAATCAGCTTATACCCAGAAGCAGAGCATTGATTGCTGGTGTTTTACTTCCTAGTGACAAATGTCACTCTTTATCATAAAATTATAAGTATTTTAGAATGAAAAGCTGGCCAATGGGCAGCTGGAGTTTGTTTGTTTTTAATCTTTCTAATTGTGAGGTCCCAGGGCACTGATATGAACCCATTAGCTTATATAGAAGGGCCCCTTTTCCACTGTGTTTATGGGGAGGCAGTGCATACAACAGGATGGGTCTGGGCCTTAAAGAAATAAAGGATTGGGTAGAATCACAATTTCCATCACTTATTAGCTGTGTGTTCTTGCATGTTACTTGATTTCTCTGACCCTCAGTTCATTCACCTTTAAAAGGAATTAATACCCAACTTATAGGGTCGTTGGGAGGATAAAAGAAGATAATGTATGTACAGCACAAATTGGGGTGAAGAGGTTACGCGACAAGTGATTGCTCTTGATATAATCAAAGAGTGGAGTTAGCTTTACTCCCTTATTAGAAACACCTTAAAGAAATATATCACTCTCCTTTCATCTGTCAAGTTGGACCTCGAGCTCCTCCACGCCTTTGCCGTCTTCCCTCCCCTTCTCCCTTATACCCTCTCTGCGCACAAACTGGGCTGGATGGGGATTGGGATGAAGAGAGCGCAGAGCAGACATGGCAAAGTTGAGGACTGGGGCGCGGCAGTAAGCTGCTTACAACATAGAAATAAAGGGTGAGGGCAGGTGGTGATGTAAAAAGATGCCTTATGCTTACCAGTGAATTTGATAAGGAAAAAATCTAGCTTAAATCGAGCATTTGAGATTATACTACTCTATATCCAATGGAAGTCTTTGAAAAAGGTCTCAGGTGCCAGGCAAAGTTTTCTGTGTTTATATTGTAGTTTGCCGAAAGCTTCTCTATTCAGACATAAGCTTTAACCAAGAGACTGTGTCATAGATTTGGAAAAGATGCTTCAGGTTATGCTTCTGACAAGTGATCCCCTCTGATTGTGCCTTCCTCACCATTGGCATTTGGACTTGTGTTTACTCTCCCCTCCTCTATAGTGTGTGGACCGAAGAGTCTCAATGCACCTTGCTGAATGTGTCCATCACGGAAACATTTAATTGCTCCTTTAGCTGTGGTCCTGACTGCTGGAAACTCTCTCAGTACCCCTGCCTCCAGGTGTATGTGAACCTGACTTCTTCAGGCGAAAAGCTTCTTCTCTACCACACTGAAGAGACAATGAAAATCAATCAGAAGGTAGGAGCTGGGTGCACACTGCATCTCATTCACCCCCGCAGAGCACCCACACCTGGCTCCTTTCCCTGTGAAGTTCTCCTGGGCCGGCATTTCAAGGCAAAATACCACTAGGAAGCAGGCCCTGCCTCATCCATTCACAGAACTCCCTATTTGACTCTTGCTTGGGAAACATTTATTTCGTGTCCAAGCTGTGGACAAATCATTCCCCCATTTTGTGGTAGTGCAAATGTAGCCCTCACTTCCATTTAGAAGGTAAACATTATATCCTATTTATACACAAATAGATTGTTTCAAAACAAATGTGCAACTTAGAGTTGTACAAGCGGAAAAACCAGGTATTTGTCATACACCTGGGAGCCATTGGGTAACGCTGTCTTTTGCTTTTCCATGGTCATTGTCACTTAGTTCTACAACCTTGGGGATATAATTTAATCTGTCTGAGCCTCAGCTTCCTCTTCTCTAAAATGGTAATAACAGTTGCCTTCCTGCAAGGCCATTGTGAGGATCAGAGCAAGTGTAAAGTGTTGGCACAGGGGAGACCTTCAACCAATGGTCACAGTGTGTGTCCTGTGTATCTTTCTTCATATGTGTTATGTTCATAGAGGCTGAATTTTCCAGCACTGATACATTCAAATCCAGATGGTGGATGCTCAACAAATGCATTGATTAAAGCTGCACATAAAATTTGTATTTATAAGGTCTGAGATAACCAGTAAAGTGTCAGCAGAACAAACTGCCATTATCAATTTTTAGTTAAATATATTGAGTTTTGGATTTATGGTAGCAATTTAGATGGCCAGAGTACTCTCATACGCCAAGACAACCTAACGCCACTCTCCAGTAGGACAATTAGCTCTCGTTACCAGGATACAATTCCCATGAACTCTAGCCTTTCTTGTAAAAGCTTTTCTTTCACTGCAATTATCAGCACTTAAATGACATAGATTATATGTACTGAAAAAAATGCCGTAGCTTCAAAGTTCAATACTAGAATAGGATTTGTTTTGTGATATATTGACACAAAGGAAGGAAACTCACCTTGCATTTTGGTTACAATAATTTAAAAGAATTCTCACAAACATCTCTGAGGACTCAACACAATGAATATTTCAGGGAATGTTGTTTGAAAATGTCTGCACTGATTTCCTTTCGTTTGTGGTAACCACAAACAAAACTAGTTCTAACCCTGTTCTGCAAACATATAAAGCTTAGCTCTCCCACAAAGTGTTTGTTTTTCAAGATCTTGCCTCAAGTCAGATTTTTAAATCATAGCTGACCTGTAGGGATGAATGCCTATAAAACTCTCAAATCTCCGTGGAACTGAAAATTGGCCAAAGTTGAATAGGCACGAATAAGTGAAATATATTTCCATTTCCTCGTTTTTACATTTTATCACTAAGCCCTGTGAATGCATTATTTAGGCTATAAACAGAGAGTGAACCTACCATAGAAAGTCTCAGTTAAAAATCCAGGACCAGTATCCTGTCTGCTGTCAGACTACTAGATAATTGTTGGTTTATCTGCCTCATTATCTTATTTTTAACTATGAATTATAACATACATACAGAATCATGCAATAAATGGAAAAAGCACAGCTCAGGCATTTAACACAGAGACCCCCCATGCAACCACCACGAGAGTAAAGACATAAACACTTCCTGTACAGCAAAAACACCCTTCATGTCCCCTCCCAATAACTGTAGGCTCTGCCCCCTGCCAGAGGTAACAACTATCCTGACTACTATGGCAATTACTTTCTTATGGCAAAAAACTTTCTTAGTTTTGCCTGTTTTTTAAACATTATATAAATGGAATCATGCATAACATTTCCCTTTGTGTCTGGCTTCCTTCACACAACACTATGTTTGTTAGCGTCATGCCATTTGGTGGTAGTTCATTCATTTTTATTACTGTATCATATCCCATTGTATGAATATGCTAATTTATTTATTCATTCTACTGTTGATGAACATTTTGAGTTCTCTACAGTTTTGGGCTATTACAAATAATTCTGCCATGAATAAATATTCTTGTATATGTCTCTTGGTGCATAAGCACACATTTCCATCGGGTATAAAGCTGGGAGTGAAATATCTATATCATAGGGTATACATATCTTAAAATTTAGTAGGTAATGCCAAATGGTTTTCCAAAGTGCCTGTACCAATTTGCAATCCACCAACCCTGTGGGTATGAGGGTGTTCTTGGCTCCAAATCCTTGTCAACACTTGGTACCATCTGTAATTTTAATTTTAGCTAATGTGGTGATATTCCCTGTTGTTCTTCTGACTAACATTATCAAGTGCCTTTTTCATTTATTTATTGGCCATTTGGATCTCCTTTTTTGTATAATGTCTGTTCAAGTCCCTTGTCCATTTTTCTATTGGATTGTTTCTTCTTAGCATTCATTATAGGATTGCTTTAAATCTGGAAATGAACCTCCATTGGTTATATGTGTTGCAAAAATCACCCATTATGTGGCCTTTTCACTCTCTTAATGATGTCTTTGAATGAAAGAAGTTTCTAATTTTAATGTAGCCAAATCTTGTCAATCTTGTTCTTTTTTTTTTTTTTTTTTTAAGTGTTTGGTCATCCTGTTTAAAAAGTCTCTACCTACACTGGGGTCATGAAGTCATTCTTCTAAATTATGTTCTAGAAGCGTTATTATTCTTCCTTTCACATTTAGAGTACAATCTACCCAAAATTGATTTTTATATAGGAGTCAAGTTTCTGGTTTCTTTTTTTTCATATGAACAGCAATTTGTTTAAGCCCATTTATGAAAAGACCACTCTTTCCTCACTGGATTATTTTTATAATCCCATTTCTCTTTCTATTTTCTTGGAAGTTATCTGTTCTGTCATTATTGTTTTAATATTTAGCCTAGAGATTACAACTTGCAATCTTGACTAATCAAAGACATTAAAATATTTTAACCTCATTCATTCTGTTCCCAACTTATATATCATTATCATTTTTCTATATACACTTTAAGATCATGTAGACATTATTATTGTTTTTGTATATAGTGGATATTAATTTATTTTTTTCTTTTTTGTTTCTTTGTTGTTGTTGTTGTTTGTGAGGAGATCAGCCCTGTGCTAACATCTGCCATCCTCTTTTTTTTTTTGCTGAGGAAGACTGGCCCTGGGCTAACATCCTTGCCCATCTTATTCCACTTTATATGGGACGCCACCACAGCATGGCTTGCCAAGCAGTGTGTCGGTGTGCTCCCGGGATCTGAACCGGCAAACCCTGGGCCGCCACAGCAGAGCATGTGCACTTAACCACTTGTGCCACCAGGCCGGCCCTAGTAGATATTAATTTAGATGTGTCCCATGATTTTCCATTTTCATTTTTCTTCTTTTATCTCTGGTCTCCCATCTGGGATCATTTATCTATTGCCTGAAGAACATTCTTCAATTAGTATTTCTTTAGTGCAATATCTGCTCTAAAGAATTCTCTCAGCTTTCATTTGTCTGAAAATATTTTTATTTCATTTTCATTCTTGAAGGATACATTTACCGAGTATAAAATTCTACATTGGCCGTTATTTTGTTTCTGCACATTCTGAAAACATTCCATTATCTTCTCGTGAGCATTGTTACTATTTAGAAATCAGCTCTCAGTCTAAGTACTGCTTTTTTGAAGGTAATCTTTCTCTATTTAAAAAATTATTTTCTTTGGTTTTCTGCAGTTTAACTATTATGTGCCAAAGTGCCCATTTATTTTTATTTAGCTTGCTTAGTGTTCCCATGGCATCTCTCTCTGTTCCTTGATATTCTTCGTCAATTTTAGAAAGTTGTTAGTCATTATCACACCAAATACTGCCTCTGCCCTCGTTACCTCCTGCTTCTCCTTCTTGGACTCCAATTGGCCGTATGTTAGGTTTTCTCATTGCATCCCCTGTGTGCCTTATTCTCTCTTTTGTATTTTCCCTCCTTTTGTCTCTCTGTGCCTCATTCTGGATAGTGACCTACCTTCTATCTCACAATTCTTTCCTTGGCTCTGACAAATCTACTGTTAAACCCATCCATTGAGTTCTTAATTTCTCTGATTGCATTTTTCATTTCTAGAATATCCATTTGGGTCTTATTTTACAGTTCTAGTTTTCTGCAATATTCTAATTCTTGTCTTTTAAATCATTCAACATGGAAAGTAAAATTATAGTTATTTTAAAGTTTATATTGATGACTTCAATATCTGAAGCCCCTATGTGCCTGTTCTATTTTTTTTTCTCCTCTTATTTGTTTTCATGTGGTCTTCTAATAGCTGGTTAATTTTTATTAGATTTCAGACATCATATTTGCAAGATTATTTATAAAAATAATTTTAAGGGGCCAGCCCAGTGGCGTAGTGGTTAAGCTCGTGCACTCTGCTTCGGCAGCCCATGGTTTGCAGGTTTGGATCCCGGGCACGGACCTACACATCGCTCATCAAGCCATGCTGTGGCGGCATTCCACATACAAAAAATAGAGGAAGATTGGCACATATATTAGTTCAGGACTTCCTCACCAAAAAAATAATAAAAATAATAATAATTTTAAGCCTAGGATGATGTCATATTTTCCCAAAATTATTTCCAATTTCTTCTGCCAGGCCCCTGGGTGCACCAGCCATTCATGGTCACCTTGTGCTTACTTCATAAATTGAGATATTTAGGTCAGAACTGAAGTCCCTGTGAGGACTTGTTTACTTTAGGCTGACCATTATTCCTACGATACAGCCCCTAGATTCCCAACCCACAATGAATAGAGGAGTCATCAGGGCCCCCACTTTATAGGTCCTCAATGATAATTCCTGCCCCTAACTTTGCAAGGCTGTCAAAAATACCATTCAGCCTTCTGGGCTCTCAGCCCACTTCTGGAATCAGCAGATGTTCCAGAGGAAAAATGGCACCAAACACTGGCCTCACCCTCCTGACACAGTAGTTCTTCACTCTCTGGATAGCTGCCCTCTGCCTTTAATAAGAAAATATAGACATTGAAATTACAGCTATCTG